AAATTAATGTTTGTGTTTGGATTCTACAGATAAACTCTACCATATAATTACTAACCTGCAAGGGATATTCATTCAAGTGGGATTGATTTTGAAGTGTATAAGTACCAATTAATCTATCCTCTTAGAATATATTTAAACTTATTCATAATATAATTTTGGACCTATATATTTATAAATAACCATTTTTTATTAACTACAATGTTTTAAATATAAATTATTATTCATTGTACTTTGAGGTTGTGCAATAATTGTAAATCCTTATAGTCTATCAGTTTTATATTTTATTTTATACTTAGATATATTTAACTATTTTAATTTCAACCATGACTGATTTTATAATACAATTACTTTCAATTATTTTATTTAATTTTAATCAGTTATTTCTTGCTTGAAATAAAATAATTGATTTAGAATTTTTGTACATTGATGTTGATTGAGACTTATTAAATATATATAGTATATAAATTATTTATTCACTTTTTTGGTTTAATCTAAGTGTTATTAATATATTTTAGTTGATTTCATTGTTTATATTTCTTTTTAGAAATTGTAGTATATGTTGCAAAATTAAAATGTAATTAACATTATTCTAACTATAAAATAATAATGTACTTTTTTTTTCACGATACACTAATTGTTTTCTATGTGTTAAACATTTTTTTTATAGGTGATAGATCTTCTGTAAGTTAAATATACATTATAGTTTTGCTAGTCTCTTGGTGTAAATACTACTGGTAACATATAATTTTTATCCTATAATTTAATAATATGTATTAGGTAGATTGTATGAGTTTATGCTGGTAAAATAAACTCTTTTTTCTAGTATATGGTTTATAGAATCTATCAGTATTAAATCAATAACAGTAGTTTTGTACCTATGAAAAAGTATATTGTATCATAAATCTTATTTTAGAGGATAGTTTTATATTAGTTATAATATATATATTATAAAATAATACAAGTCTTAATCGTAATGTATTATTCTAGAGTAGTGTTTACTAACTTTTTGAAGCTCACAGACCATTAAATTATTACTAACCTCTGTTCTAGAGGATAAAGTGGGCTGTATGGAAGGTGAAATATGCAAAAGTTCTCCATTATCAATATAGTAGATTTTAAGTGAAACATGAAATGAATTGGTTGCATAAAATAATGTTTTATTTTCAAACAAACTTTCAATAAATTTCATTGAAACAATTAATAATTTAAAACTAAATATTTATTCTTTTATAAAAATTATTCAATATATATTTTTTGTCATTTGTATATTTAATATTATTTTTAGCAATACACAATTCAATTAAACGTATATATATATATATCCTATAAGAACAGCAATAAGAATAACATATAAAAAACAATATTAATAATGGACTATTCAATTTTTCAATATATATATATATATAAATATAAACACAAGTATTTATGACTTAGAATCTATGTCATTTCGCCTTTAAATACTTAGAAGCAGACAATAAATCCATGTCATAATTGTAAACAGCAATAACATAGTATATCATATGATAAATAATATTTTAGAAAATTAAATAACGGAAAAATATAAACATCAAATATAATTGAATGGTAAATTTCTGAAGATACATCAAGAGAATCATAAAAAATTAAAAATTAATTGGTATTGTTAAGGATTTCTCATTCATAAATTTACATTGACTTCATCACAAATAATAAAACCAATGTACTCGGTATACATTGTGAGAAAAAAGAACATATATGTAATGGAAACAAATATATATATATATATATAACATATAATAACAAATAGCACACACCCAGAACAAGACATGAGCACTATTTAAATGACTACAATAAAACGAATCACTTATACATTTTATACAAGTTCTTATTTGTAACTTAATTTCTTTATTAGGTACCTAATGAAAAGTGTTGACTTTTTTAATGCTTTGCTTTCTGAATTCATAGTATTTGACTTGTTATAACAGTTTTTAAAAACGTAACTATTAAAAAAAAGATAAATTTAGCAAATTATAACGAATATCCACAAAACCATTTGAAAATGTAAGCTAGTACTTTTGATTATAATTAATGATAATTAAGTAACAAGTATTTACTAATATTAATTTCAGTTACCGGTATTAGCAGTATCAGATAATATCTAAAAGGTACGTATTGATAACAATGAAAACATATGCCTATTATCTCCTAAACGTTTTGCACATAAGAAATATTTTTAATATATTTATTCTATGAAAAATTTAACTATACTGTTCAGTGGCGTAGCCAGGATTTTATAATGGAAAGGACTAAACACTTTTTTGTGCAGATTAGGTAAA